TGCACTCAGTACTGGATGGAATTGTTTTCTCAATTAAAAGAAGATGCACGGTTTGATGGAGGTCTCTTGGACAAGTCATTGGTTCAGTTTTGTTTTTTTAATCTAATTCAGGTATTCTTCATTTTCATTGTCATAATACAGTACAAACTTTTTTAACAAAATGCCATTTTAGAGTGTGGAAAAGGTATAACCGCACTCCTGCGAATAACTATTTGAGGGGCACTTATACAACTGGAAGCTTCCGGGGGTGCTTATGAAAACTACTCTAATTAAGGGAGTGCTAATGGAAGCTGATGCAAACTGAGACTAAACGAGAGAAGTAAAATTAAACAACTTTGCATATAAGGCACTTAGGTGAATACTTGGTAAAGGTGAATATTCAAATTAGGAGAGCAGCACTTAAGAGTGTCATTTGTTATTCAAATGGGACAAATTTTCACTATTCATTTGGACCAGTAAACCATCAAACACTCATGCACATTAAAAAAAGTCTAAATTTTCAGCAGAGGTAAAATTGTATTTTTTTTGTCATATTTTCTATCGTCATATTCTACTACCTGTACAATTTCCATTTCATTTTATTTGTAAATACAATTTCCTAACATTATTTTTTTTTTCATTTATTTGTGGTTTATTAGGATGAGTTCAACACTGTTGTAAAAGAGTGAAATGCTCACTGTATAGCACCCTCGAGAAATAGAGACGGTCCATTTGGTCGTCCAATGGTAATGTACACATCACCAGAGTTATACGGAGGACAACAATTTATTGTACCGTTACAAAGGGATGAGATAGAAATATGCAAAACTGAGTGCATTTTCAAGAGCCAGTACACATGTGACAAAGATGTGTTTAATCTTTGTTCGATATTAACGAGAGAAAGACAACTGTCTCAACCAAATAATCCTGAAGAGGGTCTGTATTTGTATAATGTTTTACGAATTGCAATAACTGAATTACTTTGAGAATGAAGCTGGTTTTTTATTCTCAATAACAGTGTGTACAGTAACAGGTACAACAAAAATTACTGCAACAAAAAAAGATTTAAGTTTATACATAAAAAAAATTAAAGAAGAAAAACATAGGCCTATAATTATTTTCAGCTGTCTCGATTTTAATGAAAATATTTTTTATTAATATTGCAAAAACAGACATTATACAGTACACTATAATTTATGATAAACTATACTTTTTTCCAGTATAGCTCAGCAAGACATAATCACCATACTAATAGCTATTTATTGAAATCCTGTGTAAATACTGTTTTTCTTTCTTTTCTCACTGTAATAAATAATGAATAGATTATTAAATACATGCCAATATTAAATGGACAATTACGTTAGTTCTTTTTATTTGTAACAACGCTATTATGACAGCATGATTCATGTGTTCCTTTCAAAATTACTGAAACCGAGTTAACTACAAATGAACACAATAAATTTGAACATTGATAGCTGAATCTTTAAATACTTTAAAAATAGCATATTCAGAATATAAAAATTATAAAATTAAGCTTTTAATACATCATAAATTTATGAGCAAAAGAACTATAAAGAGAGTACAGGAGAACCCATATTAAGGGGGATACACTGGTAAACTGAAATTGTTATCGTAATTGGATTTTCTTCTGCAACAAACACTATACAACAGATTATTTATTTTAGTTTCATTGCAAAATAGAATTATAACAAATAATAATATTTAAGATGATTATCCTGGTAGTTCGATTATTCATACTTAATTGCCTTATCTTTTGTTATACTATCCTGCTATTTTGTATTTATTACGCTATTTTTTAATTGTTACCTGCTCCCCACCAATCCTTCATATTATCAAATTCCTTTTTTTCTTTTTATATAATCCTGTCCCCTATAGAGTATACTGTATCATTGTGTTGCAACACATTTTATGAGTACCTGATGATGACCTATGGTCGACAGTACTTTTTTAATAAATATATCATTTTGAAGCAGATTCAAGAACATTGTGATTTTTTAATCTTTTTTAGACAGTACAGTATATTTAAATTAGAGTGACCTCAGCTTAAACTGTTAACATAACTTTATTAACAGTCATAACTATTGGCACTACATGTAAATTTAATGCAGCATATCATTTCTGTTTAACTTAAACGTCAACTTATAAAATAATGCAATTTACACATAGTGTATTGTTATGTGGAGTGGTATATTGTACAAAATGACAGTATATATAAAGTACAGTGTAAACTGTATGAATTATAGGCTACTGATAAAAGTTGGCCTACATGTTGTTATATAATCAGAAATGATTTACTTACAATACCAAATCAGGATAAATATCTTAAAATGCTTGCACACTTGACAAATATAAATTACTCCTTCATTCCTAATTACAAATTTCCAATTCAACTATCATATACTTTTAGTTTCTTATTGTACATACACATGTATAGTAATAAGCAATAAATTTAAAAAAAAAATTAAAAAAGTGAAAATTAAAATGGACATAATTTAACCTAATTATAAATTTCAGTAAACAAAACTTTTTCTCAAGTGGAAATACTAACATACTTATATGGACTAACAAAATTACATTTTTTAAATTAGAAATGCTTTATTTACAATATCTAATCAGGATAAATATCTTAAAATGCTTGTACACATGATTAATACAAATTATTCCTTCATTCAACAAATTCCAACGTTTATATAATGTTAGTATTAGTAAACAAAACTTTTTCTCAATATTAACTATTGTATATTGAAATACTGTACTAAAATACTTGGGTGATTCCATGTCAAATCAACCAGTTTCAGAACAAATCCCCTCAGATTTTAATGAAATTTGATCAGAATGATGATATGTTGCTCATATGAACACATGCAAAATTTGAAAGTCATACTCCATGTCGTTTTTGAGATATGGCCGTTTGAAATTTGCTGGACTTAGTCATTTTATGCACTCGTGAATCGTGAAAAGTGACATTTTGAATAATTTCGGATTTCAGAATGCCATATTTTAGTCTACAGAAAAGACAAAGAGCTCAAAGTTGGCATTCTGACTTACTTTTTGCCAAATTTTATGAATCTGCACTCAGATTTAATGTATCATCTTTAGATTTCAAGTTATGATTGCCTAAAGTAGGGTCCAGAATGAGTGATTAAGTTTTTTTTTTTTCAATTTTTGGGGTCACCCCGAATGAAAACTAGGGGTAACATGGGCTCCATTCTACTTGAATATAATCTATGGTCACAGGACTACATCTAGAAGTAATAACAATCCCATTAAAGCTTTAAATCAGAAAATACAGAGTCCCAAAATGGGCCCCAGCCAGAAAAATCCTTTAAATGGCTCGACGTTCGTGACCCCGGATGACCCCGCGATCAGTTGAAATAATTTTTGAAACTCTAACCTGTCAAAGATAGTTATCATAGTAATATGTACACAAAATTTCAGCTTTGCTACTCAACTCCTTCAAAGTAATGTGACAGGGTTGAAATGTGGCATTTCTGCAGTCATAGTATGGCAATATAAAGTGATGAATGCAATAATTAAACAATTTGACATTAATATTTCATACAAGTTTGCATACACCAATGGTAACTATTTTTTATTTTAAACATGGCTCTTGAAAGTAAATTGTTATAAACCATACATCATGTCACACATACCAAGATAAACATTGTTTATTATTAATTGTTACACTGGACATCTTGTCTAAAGGTGCAGCACACTTTTATACACACATTTGTATTAGGCATAGTGTTGGAATATATACTTCAGATATCAACATTTAGATCATTACGATGGAGGGAACATCATCCGAGTTATCCAAATGCAGCATTGGTTTAAATTTGAATGATTCCTGCCATAAGAAAAATTTTGTGAGAGGCGATGCTGGCTTCTTTGCAGTTAATCAGATATCAGATGAGGACAAAAAACTGCTCGAGTGGAGAAGTGGATTAACATTATCACTTCATCAACAAATCACAGTCTTCATACCTGCAATCATTAAAGCAATCCTTACAACCAGACACAGCTATCATCTTATTAGATTTTGCTGAAAACTACAGTTTCCTCGTTCAAGATGCTATACAGGGCTATTACTGGGATAATAGTCAAGCCACAGTGCATCCATTTGCAGTATATCATAATGTGGAAGGAGAACTAAAGTGCATAAGCGTTGTTATGATTTCAGATTGTATGAAGCATGATAATACAGCCGTCCATGCTTTCATCTCTCACTTGATTCCTTACATCAAGGATCAGATTCCAGGCTTGCGGAAATGCATATATGACAGTGATGGGGCTGCAAGCCAATATAAAAATCACAAAAATATGTCAAATCTCTGTCACCATTCATCTGATCATGGAATTATTGCTGAACGGCATTTCTTTTCGCAACCAGTCATGGAAAGAGCCCATGTGATGGCTTAGGGGGTACCACAAAAAGGCTGGTTGCCAGAGCAAGCCTCCAAGCTACTGTTGAGAACCAAATTCTCAGTCCACTGCAGATGTTTGAGTGGGCTGATGGGAACATCACCGGAATTAAATTTCTATATGTTAGTAGTGATGACATTCAAGCCAATGCAGAGAAGTATAACCTTAGTGACAGGTTTGCATCCTCCAAAACAATTGCAGGAACCAGGTCACACCACAGCTTCATACCAACTGATGATGGAAATATTGAAATGCGACGATTATCCAGTGATCAGCATTGTGATGTTGTTACCATCAACAGTGTCCATGCAGGTGTAAGCATTCAAATAGTGGCCAATGAATGACAACCTGGATGTTATATTGCTTGCATTTATGACAGTGAGTGGTACATTGGTATGGCAGAAAGTAAGTTGGTATGGCAGAAAGTAAGTCAGAATGCCAACTTTGAGCTCTTTGTCTTGTCCGTAGGCCAAAATATGGCATTCTGAAATCCGAAATTATTCAAAATGTCACTTTTCGCGATTCGCGAGTGCGTAAAAAGTCCAGAAAATTTCAAAGGGCCGTATCTCAAAAACGACATGGAGTATGACTTTCATATTTTGCATGTGTCCATGTGAGCAACATATCATCATTCTGACCAAATTTCATTAAAATCTGAGGGGGTCACCTGGGGACCTCTGGTTGATTTGACATGGAATGACCCACTTACAATTTGAATTCATAATTAAGTTTCACTGAGTGAAATCATCTTACAGTGATTAACAATACTGTCATTGCTTTTGATTTCAATTTTTTGAATTCCAATCAAAACTAACATCTGGTCAACACCAACAATAACAACAATTTGTGTTCATAATTTTAAATTTCACTGAGTGATATCATCTTACAGTGATTAACAATAATGTAATTGCTTTAGATTTCAACTTTTTGAACTCCAATCAAAACTGTAACACCAGGTCAACACCAAAATAACAACATGATAACTCTAACTCCTTCTTTACTTAAACATTACCAAAACCATGGCAATCTGTCAGTGATTCTGTCATGAGGCATTTGAAATAGGATGGTTCATCAATACCCCTGGGAAGGTTCAATGTTAGTGCACAGGTAGATGACCATGGGCGACGCATGGTATTTCCCTCGGAACTGTAAAACAAAATTCTGATTGGCTGATCAAAACCTAGTGGTGGAATGTATTCACACCCAGTAATAAAGATTAGTATATCTTTAAGTAACAATCCACCAGCTTCATTTTCCTCCAAATCTTGCAAAAACAACTCAAAACTGTAGATGGTACTGTCTTCCTTAGCTCTGTTGTTTGACCCTTCTTCTGAAAAACGGTACTGGTAGATTGACTTGAACTCATCCACTGTTAGCTTCTTCACTTTACTATTTAAAAAGGAAGAAAAAACATATTCATTACTTCTGACCAGGTCACCAAATGTGCCAATTTCATTCATTCCCTTGAAAAACTGGTTAATGTATTTATTCAAACAAAAAAATGTCCATTTTGTATCTTATGAATTTTATTCATAATTAATCTTATGAAATAAAAGTTTAAAAAGTAAACAATTTCTCAAGGTAATTACACAGTTAGACCTAGATATATTTTATGAATTAACGGGACACTATCACATTATAATTAGGCCCTATATTAGGCATAATACACAGATTCAATAGACTTCAGATGTCCTAAAATCGAAGAAATCCCTTCCGTGAAATCTTAAATGAGCTTCAACATATTTATCTTTATTTTGTTCCGCATGGTGATATTATATAGTCAACGGCCAGCGGCGTATGGATATGAGCTCTTACCCCAACAAATTCAGATATATTTTACAAACAAATAACCAAGGCCCATTTCAAATCCAAAGTCTGCCGATTGACACATAATTATGATAACAGAGACGTTTTTGTCCATAAATATTTATTGATTTTTCTGCTTGTGAAATTATCAAAGGTCTTCGTTGTACACCCATGGAATATAAAAAAAACCAGAGTACATAAACTGACTTGATCATGAACAAGAACCACATTGCATATACAAGGCCATTGCATATGTGGTCGGGTAAGGATGCCTAGTGAAGACTCTTTCCACTCCTGTGAATATTTGTTTTCCCAATTTTAGCAAGAATTCAAAAACTAGCAGCTATATTGTCGTCCTTGGTGCACACGAAAGAAATCCTGACCATGGTTCACGTAAAGAATTCGGTGTAACTCAGGTCATCACACATCAAGATTTTTCAAGCAAAACATTGGACAATGATATTGCCCTAATGCAGCTTGACAAACCAGTTCAATACGACGAATACATCAGCCCTGTATGTCTTTCTCGGGAAAATGTCCCCGCAGGCACCGAATGCGTTGTTACTGGCTGGGGTGATACCGAAAGTATGTTCAATAATTATACGTGTTTATAAATCTAATGTTCATTGTTGTATTCTCGCAAACGTAGTAACTTTAATCCAGGCTTCTTAAATGAAACCAGATTATCTAGAACGGTGCATAGACACCATAAAGAAAGTGTTGCTTTAGAAGGGAGACTACAATATTATCTTTTCCAGATATATTTGATGTATATATTCTGGAATAGTCATACTGTGCAATGGTATCTGCATGATGTTCGATGAAGTTTTGAAATTCAGTCTCTGAGATATAGCTTTCAAGAGCCTTGAGTAGAGATTTTAGGTCATTGTCATCAACAGCTTCAATTGCAGCAGCATTATTGACATCAGATCCCTTTCATGAATCGGTAACCTTCTTCTGACAAGCATAGTTCTTCTGACAAGTATAGTTGTTACTGTACTGTTTTAATAATATACTGTATTTCAAATTGTATTTTAGTGATATTCAGGCTAGTTGTTTGAATTATTTCAATGGTGCAGATTTTAATATTCTATGTAAAATAATTTCAAGACCAATATTAACCAACAGTCAGTGTGCCCATCATAATACTGAATGGTAAATTTATTTTAAATTCTAGTTAATGTAGCCTAAATTGTACAGTACCAAACACACAAGTCATATGAATGCGAGTATGAATGCCTGGATAAATTGTTGAAAGAAGGATCTATTGGAAACTGGAAATAGTGTAACAAAATGGTGCAGTCCACCCCCCTATTATAAATAGATTAGGCCACTCCCCAATGCTGGGAGCCGATTGGCTATCTAAAAATAGCTGGGTTGGGATCTTAAGACCCATCGCCCAAGACATGTAGTAGT